ACGTTCGCGGGACCCTTACAGACCAAAATGTCATTATGCAGCACAAGCCTGTACTATCACAAAGCCAAGCCTCACTTATTGTCCTCTCCTTTTTTTTTTTTTTAAGCAGTTTATTTATTTTTGGTGCTGGGGATGAAACCCAGGACATTATGCATGCTAGGCAAATGCTCTACCACTGAATTATATCAAAGCTATTAACTTTGACACTGCTCTCAGAGAACCAGGCCACTAATTGGTATTGCTCATGGTTTTGTCCGCTATATCTTTTTTTAAAAAAGTATTTTTAGTTGTAGATGGACACAATACCTTCATTTACTTTTATGTGATGCCAAGGATCAAACCCAATGCCTCACATGTGCCAGGCAAGTGCTCTACCACTGAGCTAAAACACGAGCCTGTTCCCCTGTATCATTAATTGCCTTTATCCTTTTAAACCTCAGCTAAGCTCTCAACATCAAGTGTGTAGTTTTCTTTAAATATTTTTAARATGTTGATGAACCTTTGTTTTTATTTATATGCAGTGCTGGTAATTGAACATGGTGCCTTACATGTGCTAGGCAAGCGCTCTACCACTGAGCCACACCACCAGTCCAGGTGTGTAGTTTTCTTCTAATGCAAATTCTTGCCCCCCACCCTTTGCCACTCCCACTTGTTCCCAAGACTCCATTGTGATTCTTCAGCCCTAAATCGCCAGAGGATTTCCCTTACCTTYGCAGCATTTACTTACTGAGTCTTCTAGATTCTGATCCTTCCCCAAGGATCCCTAAATGAAAGAAGGTACTGAGGGTACAACTCAGGACATATTTGTGGCATAGGCTAAATGACAAGAAATGGCTGGAAAAGGGGCCTAAGTGCCAACAAAAAATTCTCATGCACTTTCCCTCAGTGCCTTAATACCCAGGGCTCCCTCTGAAAGGACAAGCTAGATGTACTGCTATAAGCTGTGTCATCTGAAGTGATGTCCATATTCAGTCAAGTGAAGTCACTGTGCCATTTCCTTCCACATATAAGTGACTCTGGCGGGGAACTAAGTAAGAGAGTAGGAAAATAAACTGCTCAGGATTTTTCTCTTTTCAGTGCTAAGGATCAAACCCAGGGCCTCATGCATGCTGGTTAGGCTCTACCACTGACCCACCTATTGAGCCCAATGGTTGCACTTATATATGTTGTGCTCTACCTTCCAAGAACCTCTTCCTGTCTTTACCTGTAGTGTTTGAAGGACAGAAGAATCCTTAAACCTGAGCATAAACCTCAACTTTGGCTTAGCTCCAACTCTGGTCACAAGTCCCTTCTACTTGATCTGCATCCAGAGGTATGAGTGTGCAGCTCAGGGTCCCAGTTAGGTGGGAGGGCATGACTCCAGGGCAAATATCTAGCATGTGTGAAGCATTGGGTTCGATCCTTAGCACCACATAAAAATAAACAAATAAAGGCATTCTGTCCATCTACGACTACAAAAAAAAAATTTTCTAAAAGAATGCATTACTATGATGGGCCAGGCCTAGTGTCACCAGTCCTTGTAATTTCAGAAACTTGGGAGGTGGAGGAAAGAGAGATTGGGAAGTTAGAGGTAAGTCTCTGCAATTTAGGGAGACTATCTCAAAATTTTAAAAAATAAAAGAATAAAAATAAAAAAGGGTGGGACATGGCTCTGTGGAAGAGTACCTCTGGGTTCAATCCTGCTAAAAAGAACATCATGTGAAGATTGTATTTTTACAATATCTCTTAATTTTATGGTGGAAAAAGTACCAATTTCTGAAAGAAAAAAAAATGCTCCTTTGTTGGTCAAATTTGAGTAGTGGTTTTAACTTCATTGTCTTAAAGCTTTTTTGAATCATTCTGTCCCTACCCTCTCATGAGTGGGGGTAATGAGGGCCCTGAAATAACTAAAAATATAAAGAATGGAGAAATTAGAAGCTGCTAGATTATCAGATTATTGAACATTAATATTTTTCCTTCTCCTTCTTTTTTTTTGCAGTAATGTTGTTGACATCAGGTCTCATACAGCTAGTGCTGTACCCCCAGACCTTTTTATTTAGAGACAGGGTCTTGGTAAATTGCCCAGGCTAGCTTCAAACTTGAGATCCTCCTGCTCCAGCCTCCCTAGTAGTTGGGATTGAGCGGGTTGTGCCACCACATACATCTTAAATTTGGTAATCAGTGTTCTACTTTGGATTTTCCATAGGGGGAAAAAATCTATCTCATCTACCAAAATCTAAAGAAAACTTGTAGTCAGGTCATTTACCTCCTCTGGGATGAATAGTCTCCCATTTATATAAGCTGTGTTGTGAAGTTCAAGGACAACTAGAAATTAGAATCTTGACCCTGCATCCAAAAGTCATATAAATGGTGAAACAAGGGTTCCAGATGTTTCAACAACTACAAGATAGGTTTCAGTAATATTATATAATACTTCTAATGAGGACACATTGTCTAGGGAGGCTGAAGCAGAATAACAAGTTCAAGGTCAGCCTTGGCAATTTAGTGAGATGTTGCCTCACAGTAAAAATTTTAAAAGGGAGGGCTCTGGGTATGTAGCTCAGCTATAGAGTATTTTTGCATAGTAAGGGCAAGTCCCTGGGTTCAATCCCCAGTACCTGCCCCACCCCCACAATTTACATAGTAATGGAGGGATGTATTACCAATCTAAAATGAAGAAAGATTACTGATGAAAACATCCACATTTATTTTGATAGGGGATTGAACCCAAGATCCTTTCACAATTGAGCTACTTCCCCAATTCCTCCTTAAAATTTCAAGACAGGGGTTCTCACTGAGATTCCAAAAAGTTGGCCTTCAACTTGCAATCCAGTCACTGGGATAAGTGATATGCACTACCATACTTTTTTCCCCCACTTTCAGGGTACCGGGGACTGAACTCAGGGGCACTTACCATTGAGCTAAATTCCTAGTCCTCTTTTATTTCTTAATGTGAATTTTTAGACAGGGTGTCACTAAGTCATAGCAATAAATGAACAATAGCTAGGAAGAAGGGTATCAGAAACTGAATGCATTTCTCTGACTTCTGACCCCTCGTTCATCAGGTCAGGCAATACCAATGGAGATAGTGATTAAGGAGGTAAACAATGGGCTTCACCAGCTGTATAAGGGACCCTGCCATGCCTTAACCCTTCTCCATCAGCAAGACCTACCATACAATTTACTATATAGTAACTTCAATTATAATCCACATAAGACTGGTTTTCTGTAATAGGATCTTGTCTTACAAGTGTTTGTAGCCAGGTGTGGTGTATATACCTGTAATGCCAGTGATTTAGGAAGCTGAGACAGGGGGATTCCAAGTTCAAAGCCAGTCTCAGCAAAATCGAGATGCTAAATAAAAATACAAAATAGGGCAGTACCACCTCCCCAACAAAAAAATGTCCTTTGTCTCAGAGAAGTGGTGGAATTCCACATAATTGCAGCATATCTTTTAGAGTCAGGCAATTGTCAGACTACACTGTGAGAAGCAAAACTATATACCAGACTAAGCATTGTCATTCATCAAGAGAATTTCCTGTGTTTAGGCCAAGAAATTATGACTACTGCAGTGATGCATGCCCATAATCTAAGAGATTTGGGAGGCTGAAGCAGGAGGGTTACAAGTTCAAAGCCAGCCTCAGCAACCGAGCAAGACTCTGCTTCAAAATAAAACAAAAAAGTTAGGGATGTAGCTCAGTGATTGAGTAAATCTGTGTTCAATTCCCAGTACACACACACACACACACACACACACACACACACACACACAGTGACTATAATTTTTTTTTTCCCCAAAATGAGAATTTAGGGCTGGGGACATAGTTCAGTTGGTAGAGTGCTTGCCTTGCATGCACAAGGCCCTGGGTTCAATCTCCAGCACCAAAAAAAAAAAAAAAAAAAAAAAGACAGAATTGAACACAGCACTTCATGCATGCATGCTATAAGCACCCTATCACTAAGCTACATTCCCAGTCCTCTACTTTTTTTTTCTTTAAGTCAAAAACATTAATTTTGGGGTGTTGGGAATCAAACATGTTACGTAAGTGCTGTACTACTGAGCCACACTCCCAGCCCCACACTCATGTCAAATAATTAATTACATAGTAATATGTCAATGATCAGGTAAAAGACATCTCTGTCTCAAGGACCTGTGTTTTAAAATTGCAAATGAATCTTAGCAGGTAGAATTTCAGACAAAATAACAAAAAAGTAAAAAATAAAAATCATGTTGTAGATATACATAGGAGATGGGGGTTGACATTACAGGTAGTTCATATTGAGAATGTACATGTATGTATACCTCCTTTGATTCACTTCTGCTTCCCATTGCTTTCTCCCTTTATCCAAGACCCAACCTAGAAACTTAAATAACACCAATGGTTGTGGAGATCCCTTCTCCTTCATTCACCCAGTGAGAAGTTGTGAGAGGCAGGGGATATCACATCAGAGAGAAGACAGTACACCAGGATTTAACTGTATAAGTAACAGGCTTACTTTGTATTATTGTTCATAATAATATATAGTTATCATGATAAAAATATATGATAAAATCGTGTGTGTGTGTGTGTGTGTGTGTGTGTGTGTGCATGTGCACGCGTGCTGCTGAGGACTAAACATCCTGCAAGCTAGGCAAGTACTCTACCACTGAGCTGCATCCCCAGCCCTATGATAAAATGTTGTAAGAAACTGAATGTACTGAAGCTTGACAACTCTTTTAAGAGACCAGAATAAAACTGCACTGGCTGTCTAAATTCACTAATGTTTTTTCATTCTCTTTGATTTTTTCTCCTGATCGTCTGTTATCCTTTCTGCAGGTCGTTTTTTCAACCCCTTCATTTTCCTAGTTTGTAGTTTGCTTAGGTCTTGTTTTTGCATATGAATCCTTCCATAAGTTGTACCAAAAGTATCATGGGAGATATTTTTCTTCTTCTTTGGCTACAAAACAAAGGGGAAAACGTGTGAGTGTATGCATCTTTTTTTTTTCCTTTTTAAATGGCATTTTACTTTTATGAATTGCTAAAAAAACAAGAGCTCAACAACTATCTTAGTAACAATTTTCATCAAAGAGTGTCCCCTCAATGGTACATTGTATAGCATTATATATCTTTCTTCTCAAACATAACATCCATACTTACCACTTGGGAATCCTGTTAAAATGCAGATTCTAATTCAGTAGGTTTAAGGTACAGCCCAATATTGTGTGTCTCTAATAATTCCCAGGAGAATTGTCAGACCACACTGTGAGAAAACACTAACTGCTGTCATACATCAAGAGAATCTCCATGTTGAGTTTAAGAAATTGTGACTATCATTTTTCCATCTCTAATATCATTCCAGAGRTAACATGTCTACTTTCTAAAACCACGTAAAAATCAAAACATATTTTATGTACATATGGTTTATACATCCTTGCTCTAAATCCCCAGTCTTCACAATGCCTTTAATGATTCTTTTTTGCTAAAAATGTCAGTCCTGGCTATCAGAAAACTCTAAGCTAAACTTGATGCCTGTTTTTGTTTGTTGAACTGATGATTGAACCCAGGGGCGCGCTCTACTTTTGAGCTACATTCCCAAACCTTTTTATTTTATTTTTGAGACAAAGTCTAAGTTACCAAGCTGGCCTCAAATTTGCTATCCTCCTGACTCAGCCTCCCAAGGAGCTGGGATTATAGGTGTGTGCCATACCTTGGTGCTTGGTTTCTGTAACTCTTTTTATTATTCTTTATGGTTATCTTTTTGGCTCTTTCTCCCTTTCCTGGCTCTGTAACTCTAGCTTTATTTATTTATCTTTTTATGTATGTCCTTTAATACATTGCAAATCCTTTTGGAAAGAAGGGTGGAATATAAGAATAAATATGGCACCAAGTTATAGGTTACATACCTTGAGAGCTTTTGGCATTTTCATGGATAATTTATAAAGGTCATCTGACGCCAGGTGTGTCCTCCTCACAACCAGATCCAGTGAAGGTCCCATCTCTTCCAATTCAATCCGTGGTGTTCTACAACCAGATTTCTTCAACAGCAACCTTAATGAAATAGGAAAAAGAAATACTGCTTTAATTTTTATAAAACTCCCCCCAAAATACTCCTATTCAAGGGATTTATACTTACATATAGTGACATATTTAGAAAGGCCAAGCTTCTGGGGTTTTTGTTTTGTTTTGATACCAGAGATTGAACCTAAGGTCACCAAACCACTGAACCATACCCCTAGCACTTTATTTATTTTTTAGGTGTAGATGGACACAACACAATGCCTTTATTTTTATGTGGTGCTGAGGATGGAACCCAGGTTCCACCCGTGCTCAGCTCTACTGCTGAGCCACAATCCCAGCCCAAGCCAGCACTTTTTTAATATTTTATTTTGAGATAGTCTTACTAAATTGCATGYACCACCACACCCAGCCAGGCCAAGCTCCTTAAAAACTTTAGAAATTAGACCAAGTATATCCTTTAGTTTATTTTTAAAAGTCAGAAGTCAGAAATATACTTGGGAGACTGAGGCAGGACAATCACAAGTTCAATGGCAGCCTAGACAACTTAGCAAGACCCTGTCTCATAAAATTAGAAAAAGGACTGGGGATGTAGTGTTTGCCTAGCAGGTGGTGAGAGGCCCTGGATTTACCCAGTACCACAAAATATAAAACAAAAACAAAGCTCAAAATATATATTTTTTTTGTTGTATGTGTAGGGATACTAAGGATTGAAGTCAGAGGTGCTTTATCACTGAGCTACATCCCTAGTCCTTCAGTCTTACTATTTTTTAAAAATCCTGACAGGGCCTAATTTTCTGGGCTGGGCCTAGAACTTACAATCAATCCCCCTGCCTCAGCCTCCTGAATCACTGGGATTAGAGGTGTGTGCTACCACGCCTGGCACAAAACCCAAACCCAAATTGAACCACTTCCTTCACCTTATCCCATCACATATACTGTACTATTTTTCTTAAGAGAAATGCTTCAGGGCTGGGGATACAGCTCAGTTGGTAGAGTATTTGCCTCACATACCAAGCCTTCATACTTTCAGCCAAATATCTACTGRCCAGAACTTTATACCACATGGCTAATACTCATAATTGAATCTGGTTTTTGTTTTGCTTTTCTTATATAAGCTCTAAATCAAAAGTAATAACATTAGTTCTACAAGATGGTATGGTACAAAATTCAAAGACAAAACCCTGTTACTTCTCTTTCAGATGGGCTCAAGTTATAGACATGCTAATTGCAATTCCTATGTTTAAATATCTGCCCATTTCTTGAGAAGACTGATATTACTACCCTTGATCCTCCTGCATCAGCCTCCCAAGTCACTGGGAAGATAGGTTACCACTTCCCATTTGGCCTATTTAACTCTATAAAACCTAATCAATGCCATGGCAAAGGCATATGTGGTATATACTAAAGATTTTGTTTCATATTAATGATTTTGAACCTATAGTGAATAAAATTTTCCAAGGAATGCAAATGATACACACAAATGAGCAATTAATTATCATAAGATGTACAGGAGGAACTGGGAGCGGTGGTGCATGCCTGTAATCCCAGCAATTTGGGAGGCTGAGGCAGGAGGATCAGGAATTCAAAGCCAGCCTCAGCAGATTAGTGAGGTACTTGGCAACTCARCAAGACCGTTTCTAAGTTTTTACATAAAAAAGAGCTGGGGATGTGGCTTAGTGGTTAAGTGCCCTGGGTTCAATCCCCAATACAAAAAAAAAATGTACAGCAGGAGGTCAATAATACTATGATTATTCAACCAAAATGACATGTTGAAGGTTATATCAATTTCACATTCAAAGTTCCTTTCATTCAAGAAGCTCAAAATCATTTTATAAGCCTTATTAATTTTCACAAACAATGTCTGTGAATATTAGCTTACCTTTTACAAGCTGCTTATGGGCTAATATGCAGTAAGAGAGAGGGCAAGGACACAGTAGTACAGTTCATGAGAATGGCTGAGGTGCTGAGTTAAGTGAGAAAGACTTCTCTAGCATATTCCTACCTACATCTGTACCCTTTTCCCTCTTATAAAGGAAAATGATTGATTCCAGAATTTGCTGATATCATTCAGAAATACCTARATGCTATTACTACATTTTTTAAAAGAAGAAATAAGGCCCTGAGAAATGACCTGGGGCCAGGTCACCAGGCTCAGAGATGACTCCCATACCTGGAAACATCCCTTCTTCAATTTTCCACACCTCCCAAGCAGGGCCTAACCTTGCTAAGCTGTCATACATTTAGTGATTCTTTCCAGTAGTTCCCTCTTCATCACACTGCCCATTCTCTATTTCAAGCCAATGGCTAGCAGGTATTAGAGGTCAAATATGGAAAAACTGTGATTTAATTTCCTATTAGGGTCTCTGGTTTTATTTTACTTTTTTTCCCCCCCAATGGTACTGAGGATTGAACCAGGGGCACTTTACAAATGAACCACATCTCCAGCCTTTTTATTTTCAGACAGGTCTTGCCAAGTTGCTAAGGCTCCTTTCTCAATCTCCTGAGTTGCTGGGATTACAGGTGTGTGACATGGAGCCTGATCCATAACACTTTTTATTTTTTKYACTGCTGGGGATTGAACTCAGGGCCTCACACATGCTAGACAAGCACCACTGAGCCACATCCTTAGCCCTATAATACATTTTGTTTTTTTAAAGAGAGAGAGAAAGAGAGAGAGAGAGAGAGAGAGAGAGAGAATTTTAATATTTATTTTTTAGTTTTCGGCGGACACAACATCTTTGTTTGTATGTGGTGCTGAGGATCAAACCCAGCGCGCACGCATGCCAGGCAAGCGCGCTACCACTTGAGCCACATCCCTAGCCCCCCTATAATACATTCTTGAAAGCCCCCAAATCAAGTGAGGAAATGTAAACAACAGACTTTTAAAAAAAAAAAATTTCAATTTTAACTAGCTAAAAAATAATGGCAAAGCTCCATCAGGTTCAGTGGCACATGCCTGTAATCCCAGCAGCTCAGAAGGCTGAGGCAGGAGACTTGCGAGTTCAAAGCCAACCTCAGCAACTCAACAAGGCCCTATGCAACTTAGCAAGATCCTGTCTTAAAATGAAAACTATAAAAGGTCAGGGATGTGGCTCAATGGTTAAGTGTCCTGAGTTCAATCCCCAGTATACCCCCCCCCAAAAAAACTCTTAATTGTATCTTGCAATTAATAGATATTTTATTGTATTTTGCCTTATTATTATTATTTTGTGTGTATGTAGTGGTAGGGATTGGGACAAGAGCTTCACGCATGTTAGGATAGTGCTGTAACACTTGACTACATCCCCAGTCCCTATTATTTTACTTTCAATGAAAGGAAAAAGCATAAGTGGTACTATTAGTCATATGGTGGGAAAAATTAAGTAAGCACTTCTGACTCGGTTCAGTTGAGATCATGATGAAAATTATTAAACAAGAGGTGAATATTTATTTTCATTTGGATATGTCATTAGACATAGTTAGTCAGCTACCTCTTTTGTTAAGAATAAAAATAAAAATCATCTTAGCCAGGAGTGGCAGTGAATGCTTTTAAGTCTCAACACTTGGAAGACTGAGATAGGAGGATCACTAGAGGCCAGGAGTCTGAGGCTAGCTGAGCTATCACAGCAAGATTCTATCTCCCTGGGGCTGGGGCTGTAGTGGCAGAGCGCTTGCCTAGCRTGCTTCAGGCACTGGGTTCGATCCTCAACACCACATAAAAATAAACAAATAAAATAAAGGCATTCTGTCCATCTACAACTACCACTACCAAAAAACAAAAAAGACTCCATCTCCCAAAAAATTGGACCAAAACAAACCAAAACTCTCTGTTTGAAATTCTGGACATAAATGATTGTACAATAGTACTGCTGAACAGAAGATACCGTCAACACTCAGCYGCTAGCTTACAGGCTGTATTACCAGGCCACTGCTCAAAATGTCCAGAAACAAAATTCATTGTACAAAGAAAGGCAGTTTGGAGAGTCAGTCCAATTTCTAGGAAAGTGAGGCTCTATCAGCCAGTGCCAATGTTTCATTTTTTACAAAGAAGAAAAAAGGCATGCTTACCTCAAAAGATAATTTCAGCACATCATTAAGCTCTTTAATAAAAACAGAATCTGCTTATTAGGATTTATATTTATAGCTGGACTATAGTTTTTAAAAAGATTTAGGATTTAGGGCCTATCTCCTTCTAGATTATCCCTTATCCCTTGCATTCTCCCTTGAGTATGTATTCCTTGCTCTACCYCAAAGGCATCTCATCTTTTGAGACTGATAGCCACCCCATTCTCTCTTGAGTATGTATCTACTTTCCTATTTAAACCTCTGTCTATGCCTTTGTTTGGGGGGGGGGGTTACAATTTTGAAATTTGTTTTGGCTGGCCTGATTTGTGGCTATGTTTTCTAAGTCCAGTTAAGAACAATAAAGAAGTTGAGCACCTTGGTGCACATACATAATCCCAGGGGCCCTGGAGGCAAAGGCCAGAGAATAGTAAATTCAAGGTCAGCCTCCTCAATTTAATTAGGCCCTAAGCAACTTAGTGTTTATCTCAAAACAAAAAAATTAAAAGGGCATGAGTAGCTCAGTGGTAAAGTACCACTGGGTTCACTTCCCAGTACCATCAAACAAACAGAACAAAACCCATAAAGAGATAAAGCTAAAGAAGATCATTCTTGAGTTAGTGTTCCAGACTCAGACAGCATGCAGTATTAGATGGACCAGGACCCTGGAAAACTAGAGTTTCAGAGGCAAAGATTAGCAGGATCTAATCTCATCCTGTTGGAGYGTCAGCACAAAGCTGCTGCCATTACTATTCTGCAGACTCTCCAAACTCTTGAGCAGATGCCAATTTTGCTTGAGCCCTATAAAACAGTCACACTAACATGCTAACCTTGAGAATTAAGAAAAACATGCTAAGAAACGTACTTACTTATAGCTTCGAAAGTAAATCTTCCCATTCAGTGCAGTGAAGTGCAGAACATATTCTAATCCAGCCAGGCGAATATTTGATACTGTAGGACCTCTGAAAAAGTCTAAAAGCACATGTTAAGTTATTTTTTAAAAATACATGCCAGGTATGGTAGCAAACACCCTGTAATCCCAGCAACTTGAGGCTGAGGCAGGAGGATCACATGTTCAAGGCCAGCCTCAGCAATTTAGTGAGACCTTAAGCAACATAGCGAGACCCTGACTCAAAATAAAAAATAAAAAGGGCTGGGGATGTGGCCCAGTGGTTAAGCATCCCTGGTTCAATCCCCAGTACCAAAAAAACTCAACACACTTTTAAAATCCAGTTTCAAAGAGCTGCATTCTAAATGCCCCATTTTGCTCTAATACTTACTAAAAAGATAGGCAGCACAAAAATGATTCCTGAAAAATGTGTGAAAGTTTCTCCTCTCAATTATTTAATCTCATGTCTTTTCCACTGAAATATGTAATTTTTCAGTTTTGAAGTTCTTCTTTTAAAGCCAATGTTTTTTATTGGAGTATCATATTTACCATGGATATTAACTTTTTAAAAAATGTTAGTCAAGCCAGGCACAATGGAGCAAGCCTGTAATCCCAGCAGCTCGGGAGGTTGGGACAGGAAGATCACAAGTTCAAAGCCAGCCTCAGCAACAGCGAGGTGCTAAGCAACTTGGTGTGAGACTCTTTCTCTAAATAAAATACAAAATAGGTCAGGGATGTGGTTCAGTGGTTGAGTGTCTCTGAATTCACTCTCCAGTACCAATGTTAGTAAAGGCATAAATTTCTAACCTACAAGACAAACAGCTGAAGATTCCAGGACCTGATCAAGGAAAGTACAGATGAGTCTAAAACAAAGAGGTAATAGATTAAAATGTGTCTCAACAGAATGCTGACAAAAAGCTGGCATGGAATGAGAGATCAAGAAGAAAGAAAGATATTATGAGGATACAGATAGAGGTAAATTGCAGTTAAAAAGAAATAAGGGAGTCAGCCAGGGATATAGCTCAGTTAGTAGAGTGCTCGCCTTGCATGCACAAGGCCCTGGGTTCAATCTCCAGCACCACAAAAAATAAAAGAAGTAAGGGGGCTGAAAATAAATGAGTTTTAGTCAGAGATGGAAAGCTTCAGTTTGATATTTTGCAATGGATTAATTCTAGGCAAAAATAAGACTTTAAGTGTGTCTGTGTCTATAAGTAAATACAGTGGAAGCTGGGCAAGATGGTGCATGCCCGTAATCCGAGCGGCTGGGGAGGCTGAGGCAGGAGGATTGCAAGTTCAAAGCCAGCCTCAGCAACTTAATGAGGCCCTAAGCAAATCAGCAAGACCCTGTCTCTAAATAAAATACAAAAAAGGGCTGGGGATGTGGCTCAGTGGTTAAATGCCCCTTAGTTCAATCCCTGATATCAATAAATGAATGAATGAATGAATGAAATGCAAAGGAAACAGTAGGCTGACCAGCATATTTACAGCAAAGCCATGGGATCTGTAGTCCAGGAATACAATCAGATCCTGATTATATTGTATTACTTCTCTTCAAGCTGGGCAATCAAGCTAACTGGTCTCAATTTCCTTATCCATAACATGGGAGCAATATTACTGTTATGTACTGAATGCATCTATTCTCTCAATATTTATGCTTTGAAGCTCTAGTCACCAAATAAATAAAATACTATTTTTATTTATTTATTTATTCTCTTTAGAGAAGAGGCCACTAAGGATATACTGAAGTTTAAAGGAGGTCAAAAAAGGTAGGACCCTAATCCAATACAATTTATGTTCCAGTAAGAAAACACCAAGCTAGGCACGGTGGCAAACACCTGTAATCCCAGGAGCTCGGGAGGCTGAGACAGGAGCATTTCGAGTCTGTCTCTAAAGAAAAAGAAAAAACACCAGCAAGCCTATTCGGAAGCAACTTTGATCTTCGACTTTTAAGCTTTTGGAACTATGTGGGTTAAGCCCACCAAGTCAATGATATCATGCTATGGCAACCTGAGAAGACCAATACAACTACCTCTGTGAGGCTGTAGAAAAGATTAGTAAATTACCTGACCAAACCTTTAGCAGTTATTTTCATTATTGCATGTTTTTGTTTTTTTGGAATTGAACCCAGGGGTGCTTTACCACTGACCCACATCCCCAGTCCTTTTCATTTTTATGTTGAGACAGGGTTTTATAAGTTTCTACAGCCTCACTAAATGCTGAGGATGGTCTCAAGCTTGAGATCCTCTTTCTTCAGCCTCCTGAGTTGCTGGGATTACAAACATGCGCTACTACACCCAGCTCACTGCACATTTTTCAAATGGATTAAAAACTTAGGAAACAGGTTAAAATAAATTAAGACAATGTAGCTCTATGACCACTGTTATAAATAAAGGCATTAAGAAAAATTAATCTTGTTAGGTAGATAAATAACAGTAGACCTTAAAGGAACACTTCATGAAATTAACCCATTTCTTGATTTACTATCAGTTTAATGTTCAATGAACAGTCACATAAAAACAGTAACAATAAAAATTAGGATAGACTAAATCTAAAAAGATTATTTACTGGTTGATAAATATTCTATCAAGGATGCAGTTCCAACCAGGCATAGTGGTACATGCCTTTAATCCCAGCCAGTTTGGGAGGCTGAGACAGGAGGATCACAATTTCTTTTCTTTTATTTTTCTTAATATAAATTTTTTTTAGTTGCAGTTGGACACAATATCTTTATTTTATTTATCTATGTGGTGCTGGGGATCAAACCCAGGGCCCCGCACATGCTAGGCGAGCTCTACTGCTTAGCCACAGTCCCAGCCCCAGCCCCAGGAGGATCACAATTTCAAAGCTAGTCTCAGCAACTTAGCAAGACCTTATTTTAAAATAAAAAATAATAATTTTTAAAAAGAGGGCTGGGATGTAGCTCAGTGGTTAAGCAACCCTAGGTTTAATCTCTGGTACCAAAAAAAAAAAAAAAAGTTCCAGAGCTGAAGATGTAACTTAGTGAAAAGCACATTCCTAGCATTCATGAGGTCCTAGATTTCCACCACCAGCATTACAATTAAAATAAGGAAAAAAAGAGCAATTTCCATTAGATTTATAAAACTTTTTTTTTACAAAAAAATTATATAATATTTAAGTAACCAAAAAAGAAACTTCCTATAAGAAAGCCCTTCATTAATTTCCTTTCCTTTTTGATCTACCATAAAGTCATGTGCTACATAGGGAGATTTCAATGACAGACCACATATATGACAACGGTTCGATAAAAATTCATCACTTAAGCCAGCCAGGAAGACATACACCTGTAATCCTAGTGACTCAGAAGGCTAAGATAGTAGGAGTGCAGGTTCCAGGCCAGCCTAGGCAACTTAGCAAGGTTTCACATATAGTGAGACCCCGCCTCAAAATAAAAAATAAAACAGGCTTGGGATATGGCTCAGTGGTTAAACACCCCGGAGTTTAATCTCCGGTATGCCCCCTCAACCTTAGGGGGAAAAAAAAAATAAGAATATATCACCTAGTGATGACATAGCCATTTTAGTTTGGGTAGATACACTTTGATGCTTATACATTGATGAAATCACCTAACACATTTTTAAGGCCACATGCACATTGTTTTTTTTTAAGAATTTTTAATATTTATTTTTTAGTTTTCAGCGGACACTACATCTTTTTTTTATTTTTAAATTTTTTTTTTTGAGAGAGAGAGAGAGAGAGAGAGAGAGTTTTTTTAATATTTATTTTTTAGTTTTTGGCGGACACAACATCTTTTTGTATGTGGTGCTGAGGATTGAACCAGGGCCGCAAGCATGCCAGGCGAGCGCGCTACTGCTTGAGCCACATCCCCAGCCCCACATGCACATTGTTATATGACACATCATTATATTTCATTTGAACACATAACTAAAGGACAGTTATTTTACTTCATATCTACATTGAAAACCCACTTCCCTTTGTGTCCTATAATTTTATTTCATTCCTCTTCTAACTGTCCCCAGATTCCATTAGGTTTTTCACTTGCTTCGCTCATTATTACATTATGTGGTCATTAATGCCATCTAGTGGAAACACAAAATAATGAGAAGTTTAGGGCTTTAAAAAGCCACTAAAATAAAGGCAAGCAAAAGCCCTCTCTCTGCTATAACAAATCATAAGTACCTACCTCACCTAACATAATCATATGGGGACATAGTGGGAAAAGGTGGGAAATCTGAGCCAATGGAGTATAAGTAATAGAAATATTGCCTGGAAATCTGGCTGAAATATTGGCTAAAAAAATAATCTTGCTGGGCACAGGGCACATGCCTGTAATCCGAGCAACTCAGGAGGCTGAGGCAGGAGGATCAAATTTGGGGCTAGCCTCAACAATTTTACAAGATCTTAAAGACAGACCCTGTCTCAAAATAAAAATTAAAAAGGACTGGATATGTAACTCAGTAGTAAACAGTAGTAGTAGCTTAATCCTTAGTACCAAATAAACAAAAACTCTTTGATATTTTGGGTTTAATATTAAAAGTAGAAAATATTAATCACTGTCACTCATGTATGAATTTAATTCATGGACAATATAGGTAAGAACCTATAAAAAAGATTCTGCCAAGAGAAAATGGACAACAGAGGCAGAAAAGCTCAGGTATTGAGTTTCAATTCTGCTTCACCTATTTAATACCCCTTATTTAATCTCCATGAACTTCTGTTTCCCATTTCTGAAATGAATGTCACCAAATTCAAGAAATTTTGTAAAGATTAAAACAGATAATGCTAATGCTCAGCCAGGTGTATAGCTCTGTGGTAAAGTACTTGTCTAGCATTCAGGAGGCTCTGAGTTCAATCCTCACCCCATCCCCAAAACCAAAAACAACATATCCCCAGACTTATKAAGAGAAATGAGAAGCTCTAAAAATTATAATCTCGACAATAACACTGTTAATAGTACCAACAATAAAAAATAAAAGCAATGTGTCTCAACGAATCTACCTCAAACTTTTTTGATATTTTGGTGGGCTCAGATTTGTAAAGTCTAAGAATATGATCTAATACACAAGCCACCAACTTTCCAGCAATAATCTAGGGCAAAGTATATAAAAAATTTTTTAAAGGCAATTTAGGATAACAAGCCCAAATTTATAAAAGGGATGCAAAAAAACCTCAAATGAAATACAGTATAAATTACTGAAAATTGAGAAAATATTGCTGCACATCAATAAGGAACGGGCTGTCAAAGCAGAGGTGAAGAGGGAACATAAAAGAGTGCTGCAGAGTTCACCAAAAAGTTAACCAGACCCTTTAAATTAGTGCAAATCTCTTGGACAAATTATTTTCCAGTGTTATAATCAAACAAACAACAATTTAAAAAAAAAAAACTGGCAACTGTGATTAGTAACATTTTAAAAATCACAGAGGGCTAAGAATATAGCTCAGTTGGTAGAGTGCTTGTCTAACATGTAAAAGGCCCTAGGTTCAATCCCTAACATCACAAAAATTTAAAAAAAAAACAAGTATCTGCGCATGGTGGTGCACGCTTAGAAACCCAGCTACTCCAGAGGTTGAGGCAGGATGCTCCTAAATTCAAAGTTAGCTTGGGCAATTTAACAAGACCTTGGCTTAAAATGAAAAGGACTGARGATATAGCTCAGTAGTAGATCAACTGCCTACTATGAATAAGATCCTTGGTTTTATGCCTAGGACTCAAAAACAAAAGACCTTGAAAAACAGTAAAGCCAACTTATCACAAAAGGAGAAATGTGAATTAAAGAATGGTTAATTGGCCACTTGTGGGCAACAGGGTGGTGGTGGACTAAGTTGTCTATAAAATGAGCCTGTAAGTTTCTTGTGAAAATCAAGCAATCAATGTAAAGTACATAATAATGGTTTGGCACTGAGGGTTTCCTGGAAACAAACCCTGATATGAAACTTCAAAGAATTTTAGAAATTGAATAAATAAAAATGAAATCAGAAAACATAAGAGGTATGTTCATAATACATTTCAACAAACCACTTTTTCAAAGAAAAAGAAGAAAATTAAAGATCAATAAGGTAAGTTATACTGGGGTTACATTATGAAAGTCCTTACATATCAAACTAACAGGTCTTAAATAAATGCAAAGTGAAATCTGAGCTTAACAATTTAAGTTTAAACTAATGACAGTAATAACAGGAGATAGGTGTGAGCATTTTGTAAAGTATAAAACACTTTATATAAATAGGATAATATTTTAATTACAATATCAAAAAATAATAATAATCCATAAAATGTAATATTCCCTTTAACTGTATTTGAGATAATTAAGTACTTTCCTGCTATTGGTGGAAGAAAAATAAAAATAAGAAAAAGGAAAAAAGAAAGGAAAAAATTGTACACCCAGAGCAAAGTGCCATCAAGGACAGTCTTAAATTGCCTACCTCAGTTACCCTACAAATAAAATGTATTAAAATATTTACCAATGAGAAGACTTTTTAGTCTTCTATAGTCTTCAGTTGCATCAAAAGCATCACCAGCAAATATTAACATGGGTTTTGTTCCCTCAGGACATTTACTATTCTGTGAAATGGAAAAAAAAAAAAAAAAAGAATAATTATATAACTGTCAAAGTCTACACTGTTTATATGCTGATTTTAAGGAAGTCAATACAGTAATTTGTTTTCAGATTATATTAACAATTCTAAAACTATGTCTGAAAATACTTATTTTGTACTTTAAAAAAAAAAAAAAAAGAACACACAGGTGGAATTTTTAGGCTTACAGATTTTTAGACTGAAAAATAATTGATCCAGGTACAGTGGCATGCCTTTAGTCCCAGCTACTCAGGAGGCTGACCAATGCAGGGAGGATCCCTTGAGCCCAGGATTTCCAAGACAAGCCTAAGTAACACAGCAAGACCACATCTCAAAATAGTAATAATAAAAAATAAAAAATAAAATTCTTTATTCTACTTTATTCATTATCATATAATAAGAGATCAAAGAATGATGTAAACTACTTTTTTAACATTAGTTTATATACAGAATAAAATTAAAAGCTACACTTGAGAAAGACAAAACCCAACSAACCAAAAAAACTAAAAATTGGCCTCTTATAACCAGCATTTCAGAATCAAAATAAATTGAATTGCAATTTCTTTGGCTTAAAATGAAAAGGACTGAGCTTTTCCTATTGCATCATATTAAAAGTGTTTTTAGGAGCAAGGTATGGTGATGCATACCTATAATCCCAGTTACTGGGGAGGCTAAGGCAGAAGGATTTTAAGTTCAAGGCCAGCCTGGGCAACTAAGTGAGATCTGGTCTCAAAATATAAAATAAAAGGGCTGGGGATATGGCTCAGTGGTTAAGAACTCTTGCATAACACAAGTGAAGTTCTGGGCTCAATACATATAAGGTTAAAAAAAAATCACTATATTTAAAATTTAAACCACTAACCAAACATTCACATGGGAAATAATATTATTCTACACAAGCTATAGAAAATATGGGCCAATTCTCACTTCATATGCTTGATGCACTTGCTATAAAAAAGTATTTTGTCAGGGCTAGTGTTGCAACTCAGTGGTAGAGTACTTGCCTCACATATGTGAGGGCACTGGGTTCGATTCTCAGCACCACATATAAATAAATAAATAAAATAAAGGTCCATTGACAACTAAAAAAAAAATATATTAAAAAAAAAAAGAATTTGTCTTAACTCCGGATTTTCTATATTAAAAAGAATGAGTGACAACAAGAGGATTTAGAAGCTACCAAGAAAAAAAAAAAATCTTTAAGTATTAACTGTTGAAGGTTGTTGGTCTGAGTTTCCCATTAATTCTAATACCTCCACTCTGACAGTAATCAGAGATTATCCAAATACAGCAGAAAAACAAACATGACAAAAAACAAACATCTTTTGCCCTAGGACTAGAGGTCACTTGTTGTTTCCCTGCTCACCATGACCACTCTTGTTGACATTCTCTGCTTCCAAACCCTGAAAATCAACTATATGTATTTAGAGGATGAAGATATGCTGAAGGTCTGCCTAATTGAAAGCTTGAATGGACCTTCCAGCCCCAATAACTCTTATGTGCTCCGTTTGTACCTGACTCCAGGACTATGGGGAATATTTAGGTATATAGTAGGTATGACAAGGTGGAGCCCCACAGTTCTGGCTTCACCACAATGCATAGTAATTAAAAAATACTTTTTTATTTTTTTGGTACCAGGGATTGAACTCAGGGGCACTTGGCCACTGAGCCACATCCCCAGCCCCATTTTTGTATATTATTTAGAGACAGGGTCTCACTTCGTTGCTTAGTATCTCGTTTTTGCTAAGGCTGGATTTGAACTCCTGCCTCAGACTCCCGAGCCACTGGGATTAAAGGCATGCACCACCCCCCCTGGCTAAAATTACATTTTAAGTCATGACCCAGTATACACATCATAAAAAGAAAACAAATGTTATATGAAATAATATTTAACATGTAAAGAACTCTATTCCACTAAAAACAAATTGAATTCTGAAAGGAACTAAAAATTCAAAATCCTAAAAATATTATAAAGTATACTAAAAATACTATAATTATATGGAGCCCCTGAGCCATCCTTTTCAGYTCTGTTTATTTATTTATTTTTTTTGGCAGGGGGTGGGGGATACTGGGAATTGATTGAACCGAGGGGCACTTAACTACTGAGCTAACTTCCCTGACCTTTTTATTTTTTGAGAAAGGGTCTCCTAAGCCAGACTTCAAACTTGATATCCTCCTGCTGTAGCCTCTTGAGTAGCTGGGATTATAGTGAGATTATAGGTGTATACCACTAGGCCCAGATTGAGGTTTTTATTTATTTATTTATTTTTATATTTATTTTTCAGTTTTCGGTGGACACAACATCTTTGTTTGTATGTGGTGCTAAGGATCGAACCCCGGGCCGTACGCATGCCAGGCGAGCGCGCTACCGCTTGAGCCACATCCCCAGCCCTGAGTTTTTTAAATAGAGAAAAAACAGGGAAATAATTCTTATGTATTACACAACATTCCAAAAATTTCTCAAATAAAATTTCTCAGGCAGTTGCAATATGGCTACCTTATCTAAAATAAAATCAACTTGCCTCAAAATTTAATCTGTTTATTAAGGCTTACTTGGTCATCTTAGAAAACAGGATCCTAGAATACTTGCTGAATTCCTGGTAAAGTCTAATCACCTGTTAATTTATTCTTATTGTGCCTGTATAAAAATTCATTAATAGAGAGAAGAGGCTTGGTAAACACAAAAGGCATTAAAAAAGAAATATCAGTGAAATGTCTTAAAAATGAGATGGTAAAAAAGGAAATTAATTAAAGGAAACGTATAAAAAAATATACAAATTTAAAACAAACTAAAAATACATGCTTGTATTGAAAAGAGAAGAACTATATAATAAATCTCAGTGTTTGCCGGAATTGTTGGTGTAAGCACACTTCTTATCAATTAATGAAATCTGTAGTTTTTGTATGAACACACACACACAAACTCACTTATCCCACAAATGAAAAGGGTTTTGTTTTGTTTTGTTTTTCGTATGTGTGTCTGTGGTACTGGGTTTGAACTCAAGGCCTCATGCATACTAGAATCACATGTCACATCACTGCATTCAAAGAAAGGGTCTCACTAACTTGCCCAGGCTGGCCTCAAATTTTCAATCCTCCAGCCTCTGCCTCTTCCCAGTAGCTGGGATTACAGATATGCACCACATCAGACTTGTGTTCCAGTTTAGAAGCAACACAGTGAATGGAGGATTTCATTGCTTTGGAAACAGAAAGAATAGAGGGATTGATAACCACTCATCCATCAGTCAATGCTCACACCCACCAATCTAGTAACCAAGTAAGCAGTAATTATAAAGGTAAAAATGGGGATATGCTGCTCATCTCCAGGGATTTGTGCATAGCCCCAAAGAAACTAATAATATGATGGCTTCCACAATAATCAAGTCATTAGTTTATATACTTTATAAAACACCTCCCAATATATTATGTTCACTGATGAACATTTTCACAGACATTCTCATTTGATGTTCCTATACTTATCTCATACGTGGTTGCAATTGAGGGTCAAGAAGTCATTAATTTGGGCTGGGGATGGGGCTCAAGCGGTAGTGTGCTCGCCAGGGTTCGATCCTCAGCACCACATACAAACAAAGATGTTGTGTCTGCTGAAAACTAAAAAATAAATATTAAAATTCTCTCTCTCGGGCTGGGGATGTGGCTCAAGAGGTAGTGCGCTCGCCTGGCATGCGTGCGGCCCGGGTTCAATCCTCAGCACCACATACAAAGCTGTTGTGTCCGCCAATAACTAAAAAAAATAAATATTAAAAATTCTCTCTCTCTTAATAAAAAAAAAATTCTCTCTCTTAAAAAAAAAAGTTATTAATTTGTCACATGACAAATGTCATTATAATCGAAAGAAAGGCCTCAAAATCTTGTGTTCTGCCTCTAAATTCAATTTCAGGCCACTGTTCTGTCTTATACCTGAAGAAGCTAGAATGACTGACCAAATGGTGATGTCATAAGACCTTCTTTCCAATCTGCAGGATCAGGGGATATTTAATTTAGGAATTCTTTTAAACTAAATGGTGCATTCCCTCTTTAAAGAAGGGCTGACAGAAGGTATCGAGATATATATATATATATATATATACACATTATAATTCTTTCAACTATAGCATAAATCTCAAAAAACTATTAACTAAGAATAGTTACATAACTTTCCACTACAAATGACAATACCCTTTCTCTCAAAGATCTTGAGAACCAGGCGTGCTCTCAAAAAAAGGGCTGGAAAGAAAATGGATAGAACTAGAAATCATCACATTAAGTGAAATAAATCAAATAAAAGAAGATTAAGGATCGTATGCTTTCTCTCATATGCAGAAAATAGAGAGGAAAAAGAAAAACAAAGTTGGGKGTGGTTCTTCTAAAAATTAAAGAGTGGCACACGCCTATAATCCTCTGTGGCTCAGGAGGCTGAGGCGGGAGCATGGAGAGTTCTAAACCAGCCTCAGCAAAAGTGAGGTGCTAAGCAACTCAGTGAGACTCTGTCTCTAAATAAAATACCAAATATTTGGGATGCAGMTAAGTGGTTAAGTATCCCTGAGTTCATCCCAGGTGCCACCACCCACCAAAAAAAAAAGAGAGAGAGACAGAGATCACTACAGGAAAAGGACCAAGGGGTGGAAGGTGGGGAGGGAGAGGGGAAGTGTTGGGGAATGACACTGATCTAATCATATTGCGTGCACATATGAATATTTAACAACAAATGCCATCAATATATACAACTATAATGGACCAATAAAAGGGGGTGGAGCCTGGGATATAATCAGTGGTAAAGAGCCTCTGGGTTAAATCCCACTATCAAAARAAAGAAAACTTCTTGAGAACTAATCTTGGTTCCACTTATTATATGTATGACTCCAGATCACCAATGAAACCCCTCTGGGTCTCAATTGTAAAATCTATATATAATAGGGAAAATTATTTTGGCCATGCACAAAAGGGAAATAATACATTTGATGGGATAAAATCAAGAAGCAGAGTTCTGAGAAAGTAAGAGCCCAATTTGTATCCAGGAGCTGAGATGGAACATTCTTCCTAATTGCTCTCTATTTCATAATCCCATTCAAACAAAGGAGATACAAAGATGCCAAGTCCTAAAGGGGAATTAAGCTAGAAATTTGATGGCCAAAATACTACATCATCAGCCAGAGCTTCCTGGATTTAGAATAGGCCTCTATTTCTGAGGTTCTATAAAATACGTGTCATAATCATTCAGAGGGAGAGGACAGCATTTAAACCACGGGCCTAGACAAGAATTAGTAACCACAATATGAAGTCTATCTGCCACAAGACCCACATGTGTTATATGCTCTAAATTATATTTCTTACTTTTAAAGTAAAGGTAAAATATAGTATTTGTTGTGCATGCCAGAATAAAAACATGAAATTCTCTACAAAATTCTAAATTAGTACTCTTCACCTATGGTCACTACTGGCCAAGAGCAACATTACAAAATGCTTTTTATTTTTATAATAAGTATCTTACCTTAATATCTTTGAGCGACACAAACTTCTCAATACCTAATTCAATCATATCCAGCACATGGTAGTCATACATTCGACCTAGAAGAAAATACATTTTAAGCATTGTTTTTCCAAACAGCAACCTAAATCCAATTGTGATTAAATTCTGAGATGGAAAATATACAAATATATGTTTCATATTATAAAAATATCTTCAACTTAAAATAGGGTAATCCCCACCACCAGTGGGGTCCCCAATTCCAATGGACCTATATTGTGTGACAGCTCAGAGATGCCCATTGCAAGTAGAAGGTAATGGTGTTGCATCTATAACTGAGTAAGTGGAGATGCTGAGAAACCTAAGAAGCCATACTTCCTATTTAAACCCAAAACTTATTTCCCATGGAGGCAGAAGCAATGGCATTCTGAGAAGAATTAATAAATAAGAAACTCTTTCATATTCTTCCTCATTTATATAACTTCCATGTATTGGCAGCATAATATTTATATGCCCAGGCTCAGGATTACAACATAGTGGCAGAGCACTTGCATATACAACACCTTGGCTCAATTCTAGCACCACAAAAAAAAAAAAAATATATATATATATATATATATATAGTGTGTACACAAAAATATATATGACCTGTTCTTTACCTAAAGACTGTTTACTTCTTTTCTTCTACTGCGCTGGGGATAGAACCCAGGGCCTCACACATGTTAAGCAAGTGCTCTACTACTGAGCGATGACATTAAATAATTGTATTTAATGTCTTAAGGTAAAAAACAAAACAAAAAATTATTTCAGAGCCTAATGGTTACTCCTAAATTCCAAACACAGCTTATATGAATCACAGAGCTGACTCTATAAATAAAAACATTAAGAGGCTGAGCGCAGAATTACAGGTGCATGCCTGTAATTCCAGCAGCCCAGGAGGCTGAGACAGGAGAATCATGAGTTCCAAGCCAGCCTCAGCAACAGCAAGGTGCTAAACAACTCCGTGATTCCCTGACTCTAAATAAAATACAAAACAGGATTAGGGATGTGGCTCAGTGGTCGAGTGCCCTTAATCCCCAGTACCATCTCCCTAAAAAAAAAAAAATTAAAAATAAACCAGGGTTTGATGGTGCATGCCTGCAATCCTAGCCATTCAGGAGTTAATTTCTGGTTAGCCTGAACATCTTAGTAAATTCTTGTCTCAAAATAAAAAATAACAAGGCTTTTGAGGTGTAGTTCAGTGGTAAAGCACCCCTGGATTCAATCTCTGGTTCCACACACACAAAAAAAAATTAATTAAAAAAAAAAAGTAAATCATACTTACCTATTACTAGATTATTTGGCCGCTTCTTGTTATGGGAGCCAAACATAAATAAAGAACAATCTGACTTCTTTGAAAAGAATTCCTATAAAAGCAAATAAAAAATAAGAACCTTGAGAATCTTACCTCTGAACTATATATCTATTTTAGTTTTGAGACAAGGTCTCGCTAAGTTGCCAAGGCTGGTCCTGAACTGGCAATCCTCCTTCCTTGGTCTCTTAAACTGCTGGGATTACAAGTGTGCACCACAATACCAGGCACAAATTAACCTTTTTGAGAATTTTATCATCAAAGATAATGAAACCTCTTGTAAAAACATGCAAGGGCTTTACGAGATGTCATATGTGATTAAACTATGCACAATGTCTGATACAAGAAGGTATTTAAAAAATATTTTTTAAACCAATGGAAATAGTTTTCTTAAAATGTTTTCAAAAATATTCTTATACCAGGCATGGTGGCATCCACCTGAAATCCCAGTGGCTTGGCAGGCTCAGCAACTCAGTGAGACCCTAAGCAACTTATGGAGACCCTGTCTCAAAAGAAAATAAAAGGATTGGGCATGTGGCTCAGTAGTTAAGCACCCCTGGCTTCAACCCCTAGCCCAAAAATATACAAAATTAAAA